GAGATCGTCTTACAAGCTCATGCAACATTCAACAAAATTGTCCGAATCGCGAATGCGCTGGACGCAAGGCGTGGACTCGCAAGGGCAAGTTTCCGGGAGGGAAATCGCTTTTGCGGCCAGCCCCAACACACATCAATCAATGGCGTGGACGTGTTTGCAGCCCGGCTATTTTCCAGGTGCTGTTTCCACTGCAACCAGCTGGGCCACATGGCGAGGGACTGCTCGCAGCTGAAAAAGAACTTAGCTAACGACGGGAAGCAATCGGGAAATGGAGATCGTCAGTAGCAGATGGGCCACCTACTGACTTGACTGTTTCGCCCAAATGCCGACACCCCTACCAGGTTATAGTGTTGGTTTATCGCCCTGTGCTGGTTGAAGGAAGAGTTGGCGACACCCGCATCAAAGTATTTGTTGATGGTAGGGCAAGTCACAGCTTGATGGATGTGACAAAAGCGAAGAAACTCCGATTGCAGTTGGAATACTGCATGCCCGAAATCAACGCAAGGTTGGTTGACGGCACCGCACTGGCGATTCGGGGGTGCGTGCCTCACGTGCAATTCACCTGTGGCGAAAATTTCAGTTTCACAACGAAGATGCTGGCGACTACTTTGGACGGGTGCGACATGCTGCTGGGACGCGATTGGCTGCGAGAATACAACCCGAGTATCGACTGGCGGACGGGCGATTGTCGCATAAAATGGAGTGGCGAGTGGCGACGGCTACCCAAGTGGAGCAGTCTAGACTCGACAACATTGACGGTCAGCACTGTGATTATAAAGTGCGTGATGATTCGAGGAGCGCAACTGTCTTCGTGTACCTCGACGACATCCTCGTCTACAGCACAACCCGGGAGCAACATTTAAAGGATTTGGAAGCAGTTTTCTCTCTCCTGCAGCACAACCAACTCATCACCAAGGGCTCTAAGTGCGAGTTTTTAAAACACGAGGTGGAGTTCTTGGGTCACGTGATTTCCATCGACGGCGTTAAAATCGACCCCAAGAAAATCGCGACAATCCAAGATTGGAAGCCGCCGGCTAATCTACGCGAACTTCAAAGTTTTATGCCGTTTGTTCATTATGTCCGCCGTTTCATTTCGAACATGGCGGGGTAACTTCCCCTCTCACGGATCTCCTGAAGAAGGGCACGTTTTTTAGTAGGGGGGAGAGCAGCAGACTGCGTTCGAAAAGCTCAAACTTTTCCTGACTACACCGTCGGTTCTTCGGATGGCAGATCCTCACCGTCCATTCGAGCTCATCACCGACGCTAGCGATGTGGCCGTTGGCGCAGTCCTGTTATAAGACTTCGGCGAAGGCCTACAACCGATCGCCTACGAGTCACGAAAGCTGAACCCGGCCGAGAGAAATTATTCTGTTCACGACAAGGAGTTATTCGCCATCGTTCACGCTTTCAAAGTCTGGCGCTGCTACCTGACAGGCGATGACGTAACAGTCTGAATAGACCACAAGTTGCTACAGTTCATCCGCGCCCAACTGAAACTGAATCCCCGACAGATTCGCTAGCTCGACTACCTCGAGTCCAATTTCCACTACAGAGTCGCCTACAAACGAGGGGTTAGCAACATCGCTGACGCACTGACCCACCCCTCGGTCCACACCGCCGCATTCCTAATTACCCAAGCTAATCCGCTGCTAACTGGCCGATTCACCCACGGATACAGTACTGACCCATTCTTGACCAGTAACAGTCATCTTCAACTTACGGTCAAGCAAGGGGCCTATTATCGAAAATCCGGTACCAATCGGATTTGGGTTTCTGCCTACCGTACCCTACGGGAATTACTGATCTAGGAGGCACATGATTCAAATTTCTCGGGTTACTACGGCATCGACAAAACCACAAAATTACTGAGCCGTAATTATTACTGGCCCGACCTACCAACAGACGTGCAACAGTATGTCACTCCCTGCGCCACGTGTCAACGCATGAAGTCTTCCCGACTTCGACCTACTGGATTGCTGCATCCGCTCAAGCCACCTAGCCGACCCTAGCAACAAGTGATGATGGACTTTGTCACTGGACTGCCAGCTGGCTCAAGCGGTAACACGCGATCCTCGTCGTCGTTGACCACTTGACCAAAATGGCCCATTTCGCCGCCTGCAAGACGACAATTACTGCCGAGCAGACAGCGAAACTGTTCCTCACGAACATCGTGCGGCTACACGGCATCCCATCGGCAATCATTAGTGATCGTGACCCACGGTTCACGTCCAACTTCTGGACAAAAACCTGGCAGCAGTACGGCACACGTCTACATCTGTCCACGGTGCATTACCCGCAATCGGACGGTCAGACTGAGCGCACCAACCAGACGACGGAGCAGCTGATTCGCACGACATGCACAGACCCGACCCAATGGGAAGACGCCCTTCCCTTGATCGAGTTTGGGTACAACAATACCCTATCGGCCACGACTACTCAGTCCCCGTTCTTCCTTAATTACGGGATAGATCCGACAACCCCTCTATCAGCACCGATAGAAAATCCGGCACCAAGGTCTCAGCAATTCGTCGAAAATCTCTGACAGTCTCAGCAAAAAGCCACCGATGCCATCCTAAAAGCCAACCAGAGGTCTAAGCAGCAAGCTGACCGACGACGCAGAGACTTAACACTTGTCCCTGGGCAATTGGTCCTGCTCGACACCACGAATTTGGGAATCCCCCTCCCAAATAAATTACGACCATGATTTTGCGGCCCCTTCCGCATCATCCGTATGGTGATATAAATCACCGCCCAGCTGCAACAGCCAACCGACTGCAAATTCATGATTCGTTCCACATCAGTCTCCTGCGACCGTTCATCCCGAGTGCGACCAATCTCGACCGTCAACATATTAATCCTGCGGTCAACCCAGTACTTGAGCTGATGACAGCGCCGTCCAAGATCCTCGCTCATCGTATATGGGGACAGTGAGACACAGCAGCCATCGATTTCCTTGTACGCTGGGTCGATCGCACAAGTGACGACGGCCTCTGGGTTCCCACAGCCACGCTCGGTGAAAACAGAGTTGTCCGGGACTATTTACACCGACGATGTGTCCCGGACGTGGGTAGTCTCATACCGGAAGGGGGGGTGGTGTAAGGAAATTCCCTTTTCCTTACTAGGCTCGACTACAGCCCGTACACCCTCGACTCTCAGAAGTCCAAGCCCGTCCAACTTCTTCGGTCCCAAACCACTTTGCGAACCCAAACCTAGATGAGCGGCGCTTCCGTAGAGTTCGCCAATCGGACCGCCCCAACATGTTCGCGTGGTTCTCGGCTAGCTCTGCTCGTGCCTATAAATGCCTAGGCCCTCATTTGTATCGACACTCTTGAATCACGACTCCTTGATTACACACGTGTTATCATTCTGATTAATTCATAACAGGAAACATTATTGTGTAATGCTGGCCTGCAACGGATGGTTTGGTTTTTTGTCAAGATTGTCAAATCTCGCCAGGAGACTCCCGTGCCATTTTGTCTGCTTGCAGTCGTGCATGGAAAGCCCGTCCATCTCGATAGAATGCGACGTATAGCATGCTGCAGTGACTGAGAGCGTTGGCGAGAAATCGCTAGCAGCCACCGTAGGTCCCAGAAGTAGGCACGGTTGACGTGAACCTTCACCACCTGGGGGAGATAAGAAGGAGAACCTGTTGGATTGGATGTATCGGTACTTTCACTGTTGAGAGAGGCGAGACGAAGGCTTCAACGTTCTCGGTAAGGGAAGGCGTCATCATTTCACTCAGTGCTGTTGGTTTCTATTTAGTCGTTGTTCCGTATGTCCTAGACAGGTTAGCACGCGGTGAATCATGGGGTGACCCTGTTGAAGGCTACATACTGATGCTCGAGAAAAGCCTTGAGATCCTGCACGAGAAATGGTTGGGGCCTAGTAAGCAGCCTCCGGTGGCCGTGTTTTGGGACTACGAGAATTGCTCGATTCCATGCGGACTCGATACACGGTGGTTCGTTTCAAGGCTGCAATCGATTGCGTCAGCACATGGACGTGTGGTGGTCTTCAGGGCGTACAGGAAGGCTGCAGTGATGGTGCGCGGGGGCCGCGAGGGACAGCTCCGCAGCTGCGGCGTTGAAGTGAAGAAGGGTTTGGCCGGAAGGGACATCGCAGATAAGGAAATCTGCGTGGATGCGATGACTTTCCTGCTTGATGGAAGAGCTGGGGTCTATAGTGGGGATCGTTTTATTGGGAAAATAGAGAACCTCGATTCTGAACTGAGTTTCCTTCCCTCTTAACAGAATTGACCCGTGGTGAATACGCTGCTTGATTTGCTCTATCCGCCTTTTCGCATTCGAGCCTTACTGTTCGTTTCATCCACGCCTTGCCTCCAGGTCATGTGTGGTGCTGATTTCCAACGACTCAGGATTGCCCCCCCTTCTCGGCCTTAGGGAACCATGGATTCAAGAAGTTTGTAATTACAGGAGTGTCTGCTGGAGCGGACATGGCAGCAACTCGGTTTCAGGGTCCACTGATGCACAAGGCAGATGTGGTGTTTGACTGGAACCGCCTTGTACATGGGTGTCGTGAGGCCTCTCGCTTTATGTGAAAAGTCTTGAAGATAAGATGAGAGTAACACCAGCTACAGTATACTGTGAAGGTCAGGGCACGTGGCACGAATATGTCGCCATGAAATTGCCTTGCCACGTGCCCTGAACTTCACACGTTACTATGGCGAGTAATCCATTCAACGGCTGCTAGTATGCCTGCTGTGGTGGTGACCACATTCGAGTAATTGTTTACATTTTTTTTAGCTACACTTCCTGGTTTGCAAGCGTTTGAAAAAATTATACCTGTCTATAGCAAACATGACCACGAAATGATAGTTGAATAACTTTGAGAAAGAAATTGAATACGGTAACTGAATGAGGTGGAATTATGAAGGGGTTTCTATATAGGATTATGGAATGTACGTTTACTAAAAACAATGCGCATTGCATACTGAGTGCAAAACGAAGAAGCTAGTTCCTCCGCACAACCCTCATGTGCATGCCTTGACGCTTTCTAGAACAGCCGTCACCGCTTGCCACGGCATCTCCTATTTCCAGGCGGCCCGTCGCAGCGCATGACGCACGCAGCCATGTCACGCGGATTGCGATTCGGGGGGGGACGCCAAAAGATCACTCAACCAACCACAGTACACCACACACTCGCTGCCACCGACAGTCGTCTCCCACCTCCTCCCGTGGCGAAATCCGAGCAGCGCTTGCGATGTCAGCAGGCATCGCATGCTGTTGCAATGCGTCGGGAAGAGCTGTCCGCTGCCCAGCCCTGTATCCCAACGAGTCGCCAGCCTTACCGCTGCCATCTGCAGCACGACTTTTTTCCAGGCGGCTTGAAGCGGCCCGTGAAAGTACGTCCTGCTGATCGCGGGTTCCTTGAAGGAAGCGGCCTGATTGCGGATTCCTCGGGAACACCATGGCCGTCGATCTTCTGAGCACGTCTCAGCCGATCTTCAGAGCACGTCACAAATTCCTCCTGTGATCGTACGGGCGCGAAGCATCATCTGGCGACTAACGTCGCTGTCAGAACTTAATCTGTGCTGGTCTGCTGGTGGAAGCATCAAGCGAGCAGACATGAGGTACGGCGGCAGCAGTAGTTCCACGTCCCAACGTCCTCTCTCCACCTGCTCCCAATCCACGCTCCCGAACTCCCCTTCCAATCGAAACGTCTCTTCGTGTGTCAGTAATTTCGTTTTGAAACTTCTCTTCGTGTGACACACGCTCCTACGTCCTCGCCCTCCACCATGCTCCCAATCCACTCTTCCAATCTGTCAGCTCGTCTCCTTCCGCATGTCCTTGCTTACCCTCCAATACATGTATTTCTCCTCCCCCTGCTCTCCTGATGCCGTTTTCCTCCCAATCTGACTCATTTCTTTCTTTCATTCATCCCGCTTCTTGTACATCCCTCCCCCTTCTCCCCCCCCCCCCCCCCCCCCCCCCTCCCCCTCCCCCCTTCACACACAGGACGGCTCTTTCTGCATGGCTATCCGGAGTTAACAAGCCACTGGAGGGCGGGGCGATTCACTCCCGTCCTCCGCGCGCAGCTTATAACGAGGATGGTACACCCGAGGTGGCAGTGTCATGGGAGGACTGGCAGCGGGCGTACGATCACGCCAAACGTGCTGAGTCCAGCAGCAGAAGCAGCGAGATCGCAAAAGGTGCAGGCCATGCCAAACACGCCGACCGAAGCGACCAAAAACCCAGACAAGAACCCTGGGATTGGCAGTCAAGGCAGCCTGGGCCGCATTCAGGGGGACAGTCGCAGGGCGTTATCGGCGGGCCGGGGAGTTGGGAGGATTGGGGACGGAGGGGAGAGGAGAGGCAACGGGAGGGGCAGTGGAGGCCGGGTGTTGGCGCAGTGCCTGCAGCTGGTGATGGTGGTGGTGAGAGCGCGTGGGAGAGCCGCCATGCTCCCTCTGCTCCGCCTGTGTGGGAGATGACCGGTGCACTGGCTAACATGGGAGCCCAGCATGTTCCCCCATCCATTCGTGGGTGGGAGAGTGCTAGTGAAGGGCCCCAAGAGCAGAGAGCACAGCTGGGTGATGGAGGTGGCACGGGAGGGAGGAGAGCTGGAGTTGGCGCAATGGCGGCGATTGGAGGGCTGATGGGAGGAGAGGTGACAATAGGAGGTGGGCGAGTAAGGGGATGTGATGCAGTAGTTGGGGGAAATGGAGGCGGAAGCAATGTTGCAGAGGTGGAGGGGAGGAGGGGAGGAGGGAGCGGCGTGGTGGGAGCAGTGAGGGAGTGTGTGGCAGTGGATTGGGTACCTGAGAGGCTGCTGGTGAAGTTCCAACAGCGAGTGGCACTGTATCGAATCGGATTCAACTTCCAGGTAATCAATCAAGGCCCTTCAAGCATGCTCCTCTTGACCGTATGCCCGGTGCTCGCACTAACAGCATTACACTCTTCTCAATATAGCATGTTGCCTGTGTCCATGTGGCATAGTGCTCCACGATATTATGCCATGCGGCATGGTGCCACTTGGTGTTAACTTACATCAGGAAGGACCAATTTCCTTTTTTTAAAACCTCTCCATACTCATTCCCCTCCCTCTCTTCTCCCCATTTCCTCTGTCGCTTCCCTATTCCCCACCACCCCAATCAGTTCCGCCATTCCCACCACACACCTGCATCCATCCCCTCTGCCATGCCACCCCTGGCCTCTCCATCCACCCCTCCGGCAACTTGGCACACTCTAGCCCCTGCCAGAGGCACGAGCCAGAGCCACCCTCTCATATCCGTCGGCCCCTATCAGGTGGGTGGTGTGCGTGGTGGCAAGGCAATTCTGCATGGCAGAATGGCACCAATATCGCCTGGCATGGCCGGGTTGCACAGCGTCTAGTCTGATGCAGTGCTCACCGTCATGCAGTGTCCGACGATCATGCTTGTGCTTGCTCTTCTCCTCACCCCCTACTTTCTTCTCGGAGCCTCCACCTGTTGAAGGTGTTCTTCGTTTGCACGGTAGCGTTTGAGGCTTCTTGTGAACACAGGTTCAATTCGCCCTTTTTCGTTTGCATGTGTGCTGCATATGCATTTCCCGTTCTCTGTTTGCATGCATGTCCATTTGCCACCGCACAGGCCTATCCCTCTGACGTCAAGGTGGTCATCAAGCCATCCCCCCGCTCCATCCAAAGCTGCTCCGAGGCTTCTTCCAAACCTCCCATGTTCTCTCCCCACCGCAAACAGGCCTATCCCTCAGACGTCAAGGTGGTCATCAAGCCATCAACCCCCACCCCTCCATCCAAAGCTGCTCCGAAGCTCCCAGCACCTGCTAGCACTGCTGCCAGACTCGCCAGCACGGCAGCCAGCATTGCCCGGGCGGCAGTGGGAGGGGGGAAGCTGCAGCTGATGCCTCTGGCGGGCACAGTGCAGGTTGTATCTGGACGGGTGGGCCTGCTGGGACTGGCAGACGCCCAGGTGAGAGCCATGGCTGTACGGTGTTTTGTGATGCGTTGGGTAGGATGCTTGTGTGGGGAGATTACTCACGATGGGTGAACAGCGCTACCATTTCTGTTCTGTCAAAGACGTAAGGAAATGGCTACAATGCTCCACACGGGATTCATGAGCCAGCCTTCTTCCTCCCACCCATATCCACCTTGTACCTCGTTCACCCCCCCACCCCTGGCCCCTCTTTTCCCAGGTGCATCTCTCCCACCACTGGCCCTCCTCCTCCTCCCAGCTCCGCTTCCTCCTGCACAGCCCCTTCTCCTCCGCTCACACATGCGCCTGTAGCAGCAGCAGCAGCAGCAGGCACCCCAGGGCCAGCAGCAGTTATGGCAGCACCACCCATGGCAGGGAGGTGCAACCTGGTGCCGCCAATGGCGCAGCCCTACATGGTGGGAGCAGCAGAAGCAGCAGCCATCTGAATGCAAGCAGTTTTGTGAGTCTAGACAGCTGTGGGTATGCTAGGGGCGGTGTGTCTGCCAGTCCAGCCACTTCTGCCGGGGAAGGAGGTGTGTCCAGTGCAGGGCGGAGCGTGATGGAGCAGCAGGGGATTGGGGCAGCAGGGAGCAGCAGCGGTGGTGTGGTGCAGGTGGCAAGGGCCAAGGCATGTCTTCCCATGTGGCATGGCATGGATGTCAGACTCACAGGCTGCCTGCGATACTCCATGCCATGGTACATCGGGTAAGTGCCATGGAATTCAGGCTGGTTCATGACTCCTAATTGTATGATTGTAATCCGCATCCACTGTTACTCACGAATGCTGCACATTGCAATACTCCCATGTTACCCATGCAGGACCTACTCTCGTTACTTCGCAAGTTCTTCCCTTGCGATGTCCTTGGGTTCTTTCCACCTTGCTGTGGACAAGGTTGAGACAATATTTTCCCTGTAGTAGTGATGCATTACTGGTAGTTGTTCTGTAAACAGTAGTCATAAGTATTCACCAAGATCAAAGCTGGATGCTTTTTTTTCTGCGGATATTTCGAATGGCAATTGCTTAGTGCCCTTGAGATCAGAGTCACGGACATACTTGCCATTACCGTACAGAACCTTCTTTCCATGTGGCTACACCACAAATCAGCATATTGCACCACGTCAACGATCACTTTTGAAACCATCCGCATTCGTCTGCATTCCAGAGTCTTCATTTAGGAAGTTCTTCAAGTCAACTTAGCTGGCATCACGGAAAAACGTGGCGGACATGGCTAGTCTTTATTCTGATTCGTCGTATGCTACGCGCATCGTCCCTAGACCTGTTAGCCCAGCGTTTTCGCCGTTAGATGATGTTGGGCGAAATGGGATGGGATGCATGCACGGCCTCGCACGTTGGTTTGATGGCAATAGCATCACTGTGAAATCTCCGCATCTGCGGATCGGGTTAGGACGGCAGCTCGATGTGCGGGAGATACCAGTGAACTTCTTGAGCAGAATATTGTGAAGAGCGGTCTTGCGGAAATCGCTGGAGGGTAATAAACGGGAGACGCTGTCGAGACTATGTCAGGTAGTAGTCTCGACTCACTCTCGTCTTGCATCAGACCGACTCCTGATGAACTAATGGCATCACCTCCAGAAACTAACTTCGTCGGAGCTTTTTGGGATTATGAGAACTGTAGCATCCCCAGCGGAGGCAAGATGGCTGACGTCGTCCGTCGACTGAAAGGGATATGTCGTGCCTATGGAGAGGACATCTCAATTCGGGCTTATGGCAAACAGGCACTTCTCGGTTCACGCTCGAGCGACTTGCAAGCATGCGGTGCGGAGTTCGTGCAAGTGCCGTCAGGGAAGGAAATGGCAGACAAGGCCATGATCCTAGACGTCATGTGCTTCGCCTTTGACTTTAAGGAATGGATTCGGGAAGCACACATCACCCAGCACGAGAAATCACCGAGCCGGATTTCGTCAATAAGCAGGTACTACTACAGACTCCTTCACAATACACCTGTTTGCAACCACGCCTATGAGGTCTGTCACTGACAAGTCTTTCCACCGCCTCCGTTTCAGGTCGGCTGGCCTAAGCGTGGTGCTTATCACTGCTGACTCGGGGTTTGTTCCACTTGTATCTGGACTCCGTGCTCGTGGTGTCAAAGTTGTCGTGGTCACCAGAATTCCTAGTCCATTGAAGTCACATCCAGTGTCTTTTGTCAACTTATACATATTATCTATGTAGAAGTTATAGGCTAGACTGAGGTATGCTTCTAGTGAGTACAACCAACTAGTATTTGTTCTAGGTTTCCACCTCTAGTAATCATTCGTTTCTACGTTAACATGGTATCACGCTTAGGTTAGGATCCCCCCGCCTACCGCTTCCGCCCGTCGCGCCTCCTAGGCCCCGTCGCGCCCCCTAGGCCCCGTCGCGCCCCCCCTGGGCCCCGTCGCGCTCGTTAGGCCCCGTCGCGCCCCCCCTGGGCCCCGTCGTGCCCGCTGGGCCCCGTCGCGCCTCCCAGGCCCCGTCGCGCTCCCCCTAGGCCCCGTCGCGCCCGCTGGGTCCCGTCGCGACCCCTAGGCCCTAACGCGCCCCCGCTGGGCCCCGTTGCGCCTCCTAGGCCCCGTCGCGCCCCCCATGGGCCCCGTCGAGCCCGCTGAGCCCCGTCGTGCCTCCTAGGCATCGTCGCGCCTCCTAAGCCCCGTCGCGTCCCCCCCCTCTGGGCCCCGTCGCGCCCGTTCGGCCCCGTCGCGCCCCTCCTAGGCCCCGTCGCGCCCGCTGGGCCCCTTCGCGCTTCCTAGGCCCCGTCGCGCCTGCTAGGCCCCGTCGCGCACCCCCTGGGCCCCGTCGCGCCCGTTAGGCCCCGTCGCGGCCCCCCTGGGCCCCGTCGTGCCCGCTGGTCCCCGTCGCGCCTCCTCGGCCCCGTCGCGCCCCCCCTGGGCCCCGTCGTGCCCGCTGGGCCCCGTCGCGCCCCTTAGGCCCCGTCGCGCCCGCTGGCCCCTGTCGCGCCTGCTGTTAGCGCTCGCCCGCCTGGCCTCCTCCTAGTGCCGCTCGGCCTCCTCCTAGTGCCGCCCGGCCTCCTCCTAGTGCCGCCCGGCCCCTTCCTAGCGCCGCCCGGCCTCTCCTCAGCGCTGCCCGGCCCCTCCTCGTGCCCGACCGGCCCCAGCAGCACCAGCCTGGCCCCTCCCAGCACCAGCCCGGCCCCAGAGCACCTGCCCGCCTCCCCTGCTCGGCCTGCCGTGTCCTCTCGGGCCCTGTGTCTTCTGCTTGCCTGCGCTGGGACGCCTAGCTGCTGCCCTACTGGAGAGTGCTGCCGCCGTGTCCCCGCGCCGCTGTGCTCCTGTGCCGCTGAGGAGCTGTGCTGCTGTGCCGCTGTGTCGCTGAGGAGCTGTGCCGCTGACCCTGCACGATGGCTGACTTTGTGCTCCGCCTGGACGCTGAGGGCCACGCGGTTGACTTCGCCGCCTGGCTCTCCGATCTTCGCCGCCAGCTTACAGGTCAGCGCCAGGATGGCCACTCTCTGGTTGTCCATGCTGATGGCTTGCTCCCCCGTCCCCCTGCACCTACTCCCCTCCCTGCTGACCCCTCCTCTGATGACCGTGAGGCTTTCTCTACTGCTGCGCTGGCCTGTGCGATCTGGGAGTCACGCGATGCAGTAGCTCAGGTTGCTATTAGTCACGCCCTCCCTGTGTCTGAGCGCTCGCGTTTTGCTACTGTTGAAACGGCCAAAGCTTATTTAGACGCCGTTATTGCTCGCTCTTCCACCCCTGCCTCCGCTTCTGCTGGCCGCTTGCTCTTTCCGATGCTGTTCCCAGACCTGGCTGCCTTCCCTACTGTCGCAGATTTTGCCACTCATTTGCGTGCCCTAGAGACTCGCTATCGCACTGCCAGCACTGCTGCCCAGCTCACTGCGCTCCCCCCTCCTTTCTGCATGACGCTCTATTTTATCGCTATGCGCCTGCCAGACCGCCTCGCTAGTGCTCGCGACCACTTTCTTAGCCAGCACCCGGGTGACCTCACCCTGACCGCCTTTGTCGACACCCTCACTGAGATCGAGACTCGCCAGCGCACTATCGCTCAGTCGAGCGGTGCGCCGCCAGTCTCTATCTTTCACGGCTGTGCCCCATCCCCGTGCACGTTCACTGACGTTTCGGCTGCGGTCGCCACGGCGACCCCTCTTACCGAGACGGCTGCTGCTGTCCACCCGCAGCAGCGCTCGCGTTGTGGTGGCCGTGGCCGCCAGGGAGGTAGGGGTGGTGACGCAGGTGGTAGTGGTCGTGGTGGTGGTGACGGTAGTCCGCCTGAGGGGACTACCACCGGTGGGCAGGAGCAGCAGTCCCAGCAGCAGCAGGACCAGCCGCAGCCGCAGCCGCCGTCCCAGCAGCACCCGCCGCAGCCGTGGGCTCGTCTCCCGCCTGGTTGGCCCGGCACCTCCGGAGGCGGTGGCCGTGGTGGCGGCCCGCGCAGCTTGGCGTCTACCAGCGGCTCCAGTGCTGTGACCTGCCAGTACCAGCTTCAGACCGGGCCTCTCCGCGGCACTCTGTGCCGCCGCCCGCACCCGACCGCCCGCTGTTTCCGCCGCCTCGACGATCTTTTTCGTCGTCGCTTTGGCCCGGCCCCGGACCTCCCTGACTGGCACAGCCTGCTCCGCCAGGGCGTGCCGATCTTTGAGTTAGACATGGATCAGATAGGTGCTGCTTTGCATGCTTTGTATGCTGACGCTTCTAGTGTTGATGGATCTTACTACCCTGTGTACTCTAGTTTAGGTGTTTCACCCTTGTGTAGCTTAGCTTCCCCTGCTGCGACAGGCGTAGGACTGCCTAGGTTGCCTAGTCTAGTCGCTGCACCGGCTCCGTCCCCGGCCCCCGCCACTGCGTCGCTGTCCTTCACTCTCGACTCTGGTGCTTCTGCCTGCTTCTTCCGCGACCGTTCCACGCTCACGCCGCTTGCTGCACCTGCTGTTGTCTCTCTCGCTGACCCCTCTGCGGGTCCGGTCGTCGCGCGCAGTTCTACGTCCCTTCCCTGTCCGGCAGTTCCCTCGGGCTCCCTTAGTGGCCTCCACGTTCCCTCGTTCTCCAGGAACCTGGTTGGTGTCGGCTGTCTCCAGGACCTCGGCGTCACCACCACGTTCCCCGGGCACGAGCGGTTCGCTGTCTGTTCTGAGGCTGTCTCAGGTTCCCCCCTTGCGACGTTCCCCCGGGACCCGGTGTCCGGTCTGTTTACCCTACACACCGCTTCCCCCCCGGTTGGTGCGTCCTCCCAGGTCGCTGCAGCTTGCTCGTGTCAGTCCCTCACTCACCCCTCCCTTCTCTGGCACCACCGCTTAGGTCACCCTGCTCTCCCGCGTCTGCGTCACATGTCCCAGCACGGTCTTGTCTTAGGTCTCCCCGCGTCGCTCCCTGCCCTTCCTCCCTCGACTGCGCCACCGTGCACGCCTTGCGTCGAGGGTCGGCTCCGCCGTGCTCCTCACTCCTCCTCGCTGCGTCCTGCTACTGCCCCCCTTCAGACCCTGCACTTGGACGTTTGGGGCCCTGCCCCCGTCCCCGGACCGCGCGGTGAGCGCTACTTCCTTGTGCTTGTCGACGACTACACGCGCTACACCACGGTGTTTCCCCTGGAGCGGAAGGCCGACGTGCCCGACGTTCTTCTCCCGTGGGTTGTGGCTGCGCGTCTCCACCGCGGTCTCCCCGTGTTGTGTCTCCACTCCGACCGTGGCGGCGAGTTCGCCTCTGGTCGGCTTGGACAGTTCTGTCGTGCGGAGGGCATCACCCAGTCGTACACGTTGCCGGACTCGCCACAGCAGAATGGGGTTGCTGAGCGCCGCATCGGCTTGGTCATGGAGGTCGCCCGTACCTCCATGATCCATGCCGATGCCCCCCATTTTCTGTGGCCGTTCGCTGTTCGCTACGCGGCTCACCAGCTTAACCTGTGGCCACGCTCCCAGCGGCCGCAGGTTTCGCCGACCCTCCTTTGGACCGGGTCCCCCGGTGACGCGTCTGCGTTCCACGTCTGGGGCTGCCTTGCTCACGTTCGTGCCTCTGGCACGGACAAGCTCACTGCCCGCACTGTCCCCTGTGTCTTCCTCGGTTTCCCCCTGGACTCGTCTGACTGGCTCTTCTACCACCCGCCGTCTCACCGCTTCCTCCACTCTCGTGACGTCACCTTTGACGAGTCTGTCTCCTTCTACCGCCGCTTCCCTCACCGAGGTCTCCCAGTTGCCCCCCCCCTTTTCCTTGCTCCCTCTCCCCCGGTAGCCCCTGCCCCTCTCCCGCCTCGTCCTGCCCCGTCTGGTGTCTCCCACGTCACTCCCCTCCCGTCGGTTGTCCCCGTTGAGGAGTCTGCTGACTCTGGTGGTACCCCCGGTCCGTCCTTGCCGCGTCCCCCTTCCCCGGTGCCTCCGCCCCCACTGTCGCAGTCGCCGACCCCGCTGCCGCCGCCGTCGCCGTCGCCGCCGCAGCCGTCGCCGCTGTCGTCGCCGCCGCCGCCGCTGTCGCTGCCGCAGCCGTCGCCGCTGTCGCTGCCGCAGCCGTCGCCGCTGTCGCCGCCGCCGCAGCCGTTGCCGCCACTGCCGCCGCTGCTCTCGGCCCCTGGGGGTGCTGGTGTGGAGGAGGGTGTTCGTCCTGCGGCTTCTGGGGGTGCCACTGGTGTTGGAGGGGGTTCTCGCTCTGGGGGTGTTGGTTCTGGGGGTGCTGCTGTTGAGTGTTCTGCCGACGGTCGTTCTGCCTCTGCTGGTCCGAGAGTTCCGGCCCAGCCGTCGTCGCCGCCGCAGCAGCCGTCGCCGCCGGTTTCCGCTCTCCGCCTGCTCGGCCTTCCCTCCCCGGACCGCGCGCCGGTGTCTCCCCCACCGCCTCCTGACCTCCCTGTCTACGGTCCTGTGTTCCCGCCGCCAGACTCGTCTCCGGCCCGTCTTCCTCCTCGTTCCCCTCCTGTGTCTCCTCCGCTGTCCCCTGACCCTACCCCTCCGTCTCACGTTTGGGCTCGCCGTCCCTCCCGTGCTCGTCCCGTCTCTCCTGTCCTGCCCACCCACCCTATGTTGCTCCGTTCCCACTCGTCTCGTCCTCCCCTCCTCCCGTCCCCTCCTCCCTCGTCCCTTGCTGTTGCACCTCCTCCGTTCTCTGACTACCTCCGTGCTGCTCGTCCCCTTGTCCCTCGGGTCCTTGCCTCTCTTGTTACCGACCCTGCTGTTCCTGTCTCGCGCCTTGACGCGCTTGTCGCTGCTGTCGCTGACTTCGCTTCTACCCGCCGCCTTGACTACGCTACCGCTCTGGTCTCTGACCCTGC